ATTAATTAGCTATATTGCGAAAACACCGCGTTTCTTTCGCATTTTTGGACGCGATCGCTGTCTTAGCTAAGGAATCTTATCTTATATGTCCCGCAGCTCGTCAGATAAATGTTAATAAAGTTGCATAATTCATACCGGCAAGGAATCGAAATAATCTTCATCATGGAAAATTATTTCTTGTCGGTTTGCGTAAGATCTTGTCTTCTTGTAAGATCGCGACGTCTAGTTTAATATTCTGTTAAAAATTGGGGATATTTATTGCAGGGTTAGAATTAAATCCAAGTTTTTCTGGCGATTTCTGAAAGCAATGATTTTAGTAGTAAACGACGACTGCGACACGCCTTTTCGAAATCAAATCAGGAAATTAATTTAAATAATATATTTGAAGGCAAGATAAATTTTTTTTCTTTCTCTTCATTAAAAGCGTGTGTGTTCTTCTATCATTGTTAATATTAGTATTATTATTTTCTTAATGCTAAAAAACTTAATAACAGATTGAACATGGATATAGCTACTGTACGTGTATATAGATAAATTTCGATTTTTCAAGCAATTTCAAATTGCAATTAATTTGCCCGTTTCTATTGATTTTCTTGATACGAAAAATTATGAACAAATATATTTTATTAATTAATTTTTATTAATTAATTAATATAATTTTTTTTGAGAAAATATTTCTAGCTACTGAGGATATTAAAATTATTTCTTAGTTTCTTTTGTGTGTGTGTGTGTGTGTGTGTGTGAGAAATCATTTCGAGGTACAGGACATCCCGACATTGTAGCAGCATCACAGTTTTTACAAATACCATTTTATATACATATATATTAAAATACATGCGTAAATTAACATACTATTTCTATGTTAATTTATGTTAAAGTAATGTCGTTTGCGTTACGCAAACACACATTACTTTCCTCTACATCCTTATTTGCATCATTGATTGTCACGCGATTCACCTTTCTTATTATGAGTTTTTCGATTTGCCAAATCAATATTACGTTCATCTTTTTCTGCGACTGATTGATTGATTGTGATTAATCGAAAAGGTCCTTGTTAAGATCGTCGTAGCTTCTTAAGGAGTCGATGCTTTTTGGGAATCAGATTTCTCTGACACCACAGTGGATGACACTTCTGTAACATCTGCGATTGCATTGCCAAAGAACAGCAGAAATGGAGATAACATAGTTTTAATTTTAGAATTATATTTCGTTTCGCTTTATTTTCCTAATATAATGATTACTTCATATTTGTAATTGTTTTTTACTCTAATTGTATTATATTAATCATTTATATTTTATCATTTTACCATCATTATTTATATAATTTATATTATAATTTTGCAAAACACATTTATACTCTCAAGATATAAGCGGAAGAATTTTCATTAACAACAAGTTGCCTCCGACGCTTGTGTATCTTCCTTGCTTGTATTTCTTAATGATACATTTGGCAATAAAATGTTTGTTTATGGTGACTGCCGCAATAAGCGCGATCGCTAACGCACGAAAACAGAAGTCAACCACAATGACAATTGATTTCACCCGGCAAGATGCGCAAATAAAAATTTAACGTTGATGAGGCGTTTAATGAATCTAAAAATCAATTATCCGTGAACTTTCCCACGGGTTCTTTCGTAATTATTTACGTGGTTCTACGCAGTACAGGGGAATGGGACATTGAAAATTGCGCGGCATGCACGTGTTTGAATATTAAGTAGACCTCGAAATTATACGATTTTGCAACGGAGATTTCGACTGTGTGTCTCGCTGATATTGTGAGTATTATTGAATTTAATCTGTAGAAAATAGTGTTATTTTAAATTATTGAAAATAAAAATTTATAAAAATATTTTAATTAAAAAAATGTATCTTACAAAAATAATGATATCAAAAAATTGCGCCAACTAAAAATAAAAAATTATACAAATTTTTTAACCGGAAACAGTTGTACAAAATAGCTGTTTTAATTTCTTATAAAAATAATGATATTAAAAAGTTATGCTAACTAAATAAAAATTCTAAAATTTATTTAATGACACAAAACAGAAAAAACATAAAATAAAATATTAATAGAAACATTAAAACTTAAAATTAAAAATTTATACAAAAATCAAAAATTAATACAAATAAAAAAAATAAAAAAATTTTGATTAAAGAAACTTGGCGCTGTTAAACTAAATAATATATTAAAATTAATGTATTCCTTAATACATATACATTGCAATTATTGATGTAACTAAATTAGATACAATTCTAAATAGAATTAATTTTTTGTTGGTCTTATATAATATATATTTTGTATACTTTGAAAATTATAAGATTAAGATTAATTAAAGATTAATTAAAGTTATAAGATTGTAAATTAAGTCTAGTAAGAACTCGATCGCTTCAGCCGTTATTGAAATCTCAACTGGCCGATTTGCGTATAAATACGCGGGGTACCTTGTTGTTGCTGCGCGTGACTTAGCGCTTATTATTTGCGCTTGCAAAAGAGAATCACCGATGGGGGAATGCATATGATTTTCATAAAATTCTACGCGATTAAAAATAAACATGCAGTTGAAATTTAATATAATAATTAAAATTCATATATTTAAAGAAGAATAAACACATTGATCTTTATAATATTCTATATCTCGTTTTGTTTCATTACACATTTCATTGAAATAATCAATGATATGAAATTGACGGTCAGATATCGCGTAATGCGAATGATAGATGGTATATATTTATAAGTCTATACACTTTCTTGAGAGGAAATCATAAATTAATTTCGAAGGCCGCAAACAATTTTTCAGAAGTGACTGTGACTTCCGAGATTAATACCTGGTCCGTAACTATATATAGAGGCGTCTTCTATTTCTATCATCAGTTAGAAAAAATTCGTTTTATTGGCATCATCTGCTTAAAGATATTTACAATTCCATTTTAAACATTCGAGTAGTGTTTCAACTGTTCGTCGCATCAAGTGAGTTTCTTAGGTAAGTAATTGACAGTATTTGTATAAACTAAAAATTTTAATAAACATTTTGAACACATAATTATTTTCACATAAGTTTTCTTAAATACCGCAAGTTGTTAGCTTGGTTTGATTGTTATAATTTTATTAAATGTATACACAATCGTCTCGTATCACCATCTCTTTAGTAAGTCCCATAAACATGACGTAAGCCTTTTTATAGCTTCTTTTATTTTACTTACGATATTGTAAGTGTTATTATCCTTCAACAATTTTTCGATCTTATTAAAGTATTCATTTTTATCGAGGGCAACTGTGATGTTCCCCTTGTCCGCGCTAGTGGCAATTACATTATCATCATCTTTAAAAAATTTTTTGATATTAGCAATTAATTTAATGCGTGTGTTGAAATCATTTTTCGAGTAGTTCGGGAGATTAACGATAACCTTCTTAAATTTAATCGTTAAATTTGCGCCGTTGTTTGTCTATAGCGGTAACGTTTGTTTTTATTATTTTACCTTTTCGTCTAACGATAATTTATGCTCAATGTTACGTCGATAGTCAGTGAGTCTAGTTCTCTGCGATTTTACATCCCGATTATTTATTGTCGACCTGTGCGTTACTTCGCTTATCTGTAAGTTTTACAAATGTAATTTCCGAAGCCCTTCTCTCTCGTCATTTCGACATAAAATTCATTCCGCTTAATTCACAGACATAATTAATGTAGCACCATGTTCAATTCAATTTCTGACCAAAGTATCGAGGATTTCTTCCTCGTAACGACATGGATGCTCTTGAAAATATTCTTTCGCCTTTACTGGGATAATGTGAGAGACCTGCGCTATCTACTATCAGCTTAATCGGTTTTGTATCTATGCGCTTCTTAACCGCCTAAGAATCACTTATATGCTTATATTTTAATTTTATTAATTAATAAAATGTGCGCAGAAGATGACTAAAAAAAGGGGCCGAAACGTCCGCGTTTTGCGAATCTTGATGTAGTGAGATCGTTTTTTAATAAATATTATGCGCTCTTGATACCCACGCTTGGCTCTCATTGCCAGTTTATTTTGACATTATGAGATAATATATAAGCAATTAGCTTCTAAAGTTAAAGAATTAACCGAAAATTTGGAAACTGATCATAAATATCATAAAGATCATAAATATTTTGTACGGATAGAAGATCTTGTCTTTCATAAATATGCGGACAAAAATATTTGTTGTTCCTGAAAATATGATCAAGAGTGTAATACGAATTTATCATGATAAAATGACCCCTCGTCTACCGGTTTCGCCGCGGTTTCTCTTTTCTCCGCGGATCTTTCGTCTACCGATTTCGCCGCGGTCCCCCTCCCCCCCACCTGTCCGCGGATCCCTCGCCGACCGATTTCGCCGCGGTTCCTCCGCGTGACGTCATACTGCCCGCGCCGGTTTCCCCTCGCCCCTCACCACCACTCAGAGGACCTAAGATTAGAATCGGCCTAGCTATACTACTGTGTTATATTTTATTTTCAATAATAAATCGCAGACAAAAAGAAAACATTCGTGAAAAATAAGAAGCGTTTAGTTTCTTAATAGCGTGTAACATGGCGGGTGGTTTCAGCCAGGTCTTAGTGACCAGTTGCAAACAATAAGCGCGGTATGGCGAGCGGCACTGTTTCAGCCCCAGCGGTCATCCTCAGCTTCCAGAAGCTTCCATCTTTCGCACAAACAACTTTATGCGGGCATCGTTCGATGCCCCCGTATTTGGCGATATTGACGATTCCTGACATTCCCCGCGCGAAGAAGTCGAAATTCCTGCGCGCGGCCTAACGCGAGTAGAGATTCGATCTTTGAGCGAGTAAAACGCGTTACATACAGTGCGAAAAACATAGACACAGTATATCTAGACCGAGCGTTTGCCTTTATATAAGGAATGGCGGTAAAGATACACGTAGAAAAGGATATACTCTGTTTCGTGCCACCTTCTTTCTGGCTCCCACTCCTCAACACTCGATCTAGATATACTATGTCTATGGCGAAGAAATAGCGAGATTAAGAGACGGTTTATAGGCGACATAATTACGGAACGAGTTCGGAAAGACAAGAAAAGACGCGATAGTGTCTTACCGCAAGGACAATCAAGGTTTTGAACACAATCCGGATAAGTGTGAGGGTGAGTGCGAGAAACACCGGGCAATAGAAGCCCTTCCGACCGGGTCAGGGGTCAGGGTCTCACGGAACATTCAACTCATCTCAGAACCTCCACCCGACGCACATCGGCGATCGGAGAGGCGAGAACATTTTTGGACAATATTCACTTTAAAAATCTAATAACAGCATACTAAAGTTTATAACTAAAGTTAAAAAATACATTTTACAAAAAGATTGAAAGTGTTTTGTTTTGTTTAATTCATTTATTCAATTTTAATGTTACAAAACAAACGTTTCATTTAATCAACGTTTAATTAAAACATCCTCTATATATAAATAACAAAACCAACCGGAAATTTTCCAGAGATTATCAACTACATTTTGCATATTTATTATACGATACGTGCGTATAATTAATTTACATAATAACTTTGCAGAACTGATCTACCGAGCTGTTCAATGTCTATGCATATTGCGCGTAATGTTGTAAGCGTATCGTAACACTATTATAAGTCTACCATTGCGTTTCGTATGGCTTACTCCGCCTTACGATGTTTCTTTATGTGTTAAAATTTTGATTATTTTCATTGATAAGGACCCGAAGTGGGCCGAAACGTTTGGTTTAGTTAATTTATATTATTTATTTATTAATTTATATTATGTTCATTAACATCGTTTCTTAAAAACATCACATATTTATTACGCTGTAAGTACCGTGTCCGGGCTCCAATTGGCCTTTCTCTTTTTTTATTGATTGAAATGTTTAATTTAGCCGTTTAAGTTAGACAATTCTTGAATGTTTTTAAATAAACATTTATTACATTATTACATTATTACATTATTAGTCAACCTAAGATTCTTTCTGCCTGGTCTTTCATATCGACTTTTCAATATACATATCTTTAGCGTAGCCGCGATATCGAAGGCGCATATATATCATGTAAAACTTCGTCGATTTATTGTCTGATGTTAATATATTTTTTCTCATAGATACTGCGTAAAATTTGGAATACATCAAAATGCAAACAAACGCACAAACCAATTTGGGAGATGCACACTCGGAAGAAAGTTCGATCGACACATTCTTCGCCGAAAAGATAATCCTTGTAACTGGTGCTACTGGCTTCTTAGGGAAAGCCATCCTGGAGAAACTGCTACGCTCGTGCCTTCGTGTAGCTACAATTTTCGTTCTGATCCGTCCAAAGAAGAACCTATCTGTCGAGGAACGCCTGACGAAATTATTGGAAAATTCTGTTTGTATAGATATATATATGCTTATCATATCGCAAAGTTATTCGAAAAGAAAATATCTCTATTTCAAGTAAACTTAATTCTGATAATTTTTTATGCAGTTTACGTAAAATATAAAAGAAATGTCCAAGTTTCATTTGTTACCAGAACAAAAAGTTTTTTTTTTAAATAATAACAGCAATAGGCTCAGGGTAAGAAAAATTAAGTGGGAAAACTGACAGATAAGAGCCAAGATGTCGGTATCGGTGCGCAAACTTATTATTATTAAATTTTATTTTTAAAAAATTTTATTAATTAATATGCATTCAAAATGTTCGTTTTGGACCGTTTTTTGGTCCATTTTCAATAGATATGAATATATAAAGATTAAATTGGAATTGTAAAACTTGATATACACAACAGTTGCAGTCAAATCTCAAATAAAAAATAATAATCAGGATGAAGGCTCATATAATCAGAATAAACCCTGTACATATAAGTAGACAGCATCCAAACGCCATCGTCACATGTATATCATCGGTGATTTACAATGTAATTATGACTAATAATGATGACTAGTAGTACACGCTCGGTACGATCACAAAAACAAAGGTCATAAAAATAGTCATAAATAAAGGTTAGAAAACAAAAACAATGAGAAAAAGATTAATGCGGCAAATTTAGTTAATCTTTAAATCCAATTCAAACTTTGAAATCAAATTCAAATTCAAATTCTTTTGTCAATATTGGTTTTTTTCGCCGTGATGGACAATCATAATAATCAGTATTCGGGATAATTTATCAACATGATCGTGTGGTAACTTTAAAAAAATGTAGATTTTATTCTACAATAGGGATGAGAGTTACTACAAATCGTCAATAACATTTTTTCAAGTTAATTTTATCATTAAAAATATGCTGATTTTACACAAAATTTATTTCAAATTATTATGAAGTTTGCATTCATTTTGTGTTAAAATATTAACATGGTATTTCTAATATACATATCCACATTAGGTTAAACTAATAAAAATTTGTGAGATATGCAATATATGTTAAATTTGAGCCAAATTTTCTTGTTACTAATAATACGGAACATATCTACTGTATACAATTAAAAATATGTGCACATTGTTTTATTTTTAAACTTTTTTCCAATTGTTTTAATAATTTAACACTTGAGTACGATCGCCATGCGCATGATCTTTTGTTATTATGAAAAATTGTCGAAATAGCATACATCTGTAGATGAGTACCTAAAGAGAAGTGAAGTCGAATAGATACATAATTAATGTCTATTCGACACGTCTAAGATAAGCCGATTTTCGCATCTAGATATCTATTAGATGTCGAGAAATTGCAGCCCAAAGAGTGTTTCATAAACAATGCACCGCTATTGTGTGAATATTAAATTTTAATTGTATCTAAAAAAATCCAATGACACAAAATTACATGGCATCTAATTCAGATATTTCTAGATGTTGTTTTAGACTAGATGGCTCCGAGATCTAATAGACGTATATCCGATTTTGCGTTTCTCCCTGGGTAGCATTTCGGTAAGGCGTTTCTTCCTTTCTCGCTATAATCGACATATCTTGTTGCTAAATTATCTCGGCACGTAATAAAACATATATGAAATCGCCGAAAAGAATGTATCGAGGCCGTTATCATCTCGATTGATTATTATGATTGTCTATAACAACGAGAAAAAACAAATATTGACAAAAGAGTTGAAAAGATGCTTTAAATTTAAAAAAAAATCACACGCATACTTTGTAAATATGTACATCGGGAAATAAAAAAATGATAAATGAGAAGAATATTTGTGATGATAACGAAAGGAAATATCAGACGATCTTGTTGATAAATCATCCCGAATACCGTCCATCACGGCAAAAGAAATAAATATTGACATAATAGTTAAAAAAGTGTTTTATGAAAAATCACTTCAATTTACTTCGTAAACTATACATTGGAAAATAAAAAAAAATGAAATAAATGAGAGGAATATATGTGACGATAACAAAAGAAAGTATTACACGAATGGATATTTATGGAATATTCGATTAAAATATTTGTATAATTTTTTATTTTTAGTTGACGCAATTTTTTGATATCATTATTTTTGTAGAATTTTGTAAATACATATAACAGTTTTTCCCAACTGGCGCGTGTACTTAGTGCCTTTTTTAATTTTTTTCAAAAAGGTATTTTGTACAGATTCTACGCGGATTCTAGCGAGTTTTCCTTTCTGATTATCGATTTTAATTTATAATTTGACTGCAACAACAAATATTATATACAGGGTGACCTGCAATGACCGCCCACTAAGTACATAGCGTTATTCCTTACCAAAAACTGAGACGAAAAGTCCTGAACCATCTTTTTTATCTTTATTTTTCTATAGAGGAGACTGTTTAAATATTTCACCTGTGGCGTGATTATACTTGAAGTGTCAAACACAGTCATCAAAACGTACGACGAAAGGTCGCGATTATTACCGTTCTCACGATTATTTTCCGTAATTATTATCTGCAAAATTATCTCTGTTAATACGTTCGTCGAGAAAAATATTGCGCCACAAATACATTTCTCTATGAACATTTCTTACAAAAAACGGTTTTTTCATCTGTCGCAGCTTTTCGATAGGATACGATCGGAATTTCCCGGCGCTTTAAATAAAATCTTTCCCGTAAAGGGCGATCTGAGCATGCCGGAGATGGGACTCCAGCCTGAAGACAAGGATATGTTAATAGAAAAAGTTAATATTGTTTTTCATAGCGCGGCCACCGTACGTTTTGATGAGCCATTGAAAAATGCCGTTAATTTAAACGTAAGGGGCACAGATCGTATGCTAGACTTGTGCAGGCGTATGACAAATCTTATTAGCATCATTCATGTTAGTACGGCCTATAGTAACGCCGATCGACGAGAAATTGAGGAATTGATATATACGTAAGTTTTCAATTATACATATATAAAAAAAATATAAACATTTCACAAGTAAAAATCTTCAAAGATCTTTGATCGAACTATATTTTGTCTCGAAGATATTCTGCATTTCTTACGGTATTGCATTAGACATTAGATTATTTATCCGTTTTTATATATTTTGTATATTTTTGTATGTTATTTGTGCATACTTTTTTTATACACGATACAAATCAGATTCTACAAAATTAAGTTTGCTTTTTGACGCACGATAATAAATATATATTCAACAAGCACACTTTAGAAAAATACCCTTATAATAATACATCTTGCTAATGTTACAGGACAGGGATAAAGCCGGAAATAGTAATGGATATATGCGAAAATTTAGACGACGAGACGATAGGAATATTAGAGAAGAAGCTGATCACAAATCATCCAAACACCTATACATTGACCAAAGCTCTAGCAGAACAAATTCTGCTGTCCAAGGGAGCCGGTCTACCTATCGCGATCGTACGACCGAGTATTATCTGCGCCGCCTACCGAGAACCATTTCCAGGCTGGGTAGATAATGTTCAGGGTATTACAGGTATAATCTATATTTCGCGTTGTCGCGTATTTATCTACAATCCTCTAATTTTGGTTTCATTTGGAATCGGTATTATTGTAGACGTTTTTCAACCTTTTGGACAGCAACCTTCCTTCAAAGAATTATTTATTATATCAACAAATTCCTCTTTTATTACGCAAAATACTGCCTTTAATATAGAATTCTAAAATTTTGTCTAGGTGCTGTAGCGTCCAACGCATTTACTATACTATCAACAAATTTCTTTGCTCTCACACTGATATCCATATCTTGGTTTTTCTCTAATTTATTTTCCACTAATTTAATAAATTCATCTATATTAAACTCTCTATAATTTCTAACACTAAGTTCTCTGTATTTATTATCAAATTTATTCGCATTTAGTTCAACTTTTAGCCACGCATGGTCCGTTATTTTAGGTTCATGCATTACCTGCATTTCTATTTTATTATTAGCAAAAATTAAATCTATAATTGTTTTACTTTCTTTCGTAATTCTCGTCGGTTTATTTACATATTGTTTCATGCCTAAGCTCAACATTGTCGTTTGTAACCTCCTTGTATAAAACGAATCTAACATCCCAGTCAGCCACGTCTGTTCTAACAGATATTGCCAAGTGCTTGCTACAAATTATTGTTAGCAAAAAGGCTACAAATTTGGTGCAAGAGTTGTTATTACCGATTAATCTATATTAAAGAGAGAGGGAGAGAGGGAGAGAGAGAGAGAGAGAGAGAACATATATGTATACATATACATATACATACGTGTATGTACATATATGATTGTATATGAGCAATTTTATTCATTTCTTTAAATTTTGCTTTTCCTAAAAAAAAATAATGCAAGAATTATTTTTCTAATTATTTTTCAATTATTCTTCTTATTATTTTTTCGGTGCATTCGAACAGAGATTATACAAAAGAAAGGAAACATATATAAACATAAATTAAATATAAAAGTAAGGCTCTAAAGATAAAAATCAGTTAAGCATGACATACAATTGAGATACAATTGAGATTTTGTTTGTAATAAACTTTTATGCGCTGTGCTCTCATTGCCATTGTATCTCATGCTTAACTGATATATAAACATATTTTATTATATTTATATTTGATTATATAAATTTGGTAAATATACATAATAGATCACATCTTACCGATTTTATCGCCACTTGGATATGATATAAGGGAGATTGTTCTGAATAATTTTCCGCAAAAATCAAATGGTGAACGGCATTAGTTTAGGAAATATAACAAATTAAAGTTTGACAATCTTAATATTTTTCCTTATATATTATGAAATAATAGGAAGAATGAAGTTTGTGTACGTCGTACTAATGTATTTGTCATTTTCTAACTAGAAAAAGTTTTGTTTACAATCATTGCAAAGTGAATGCATGGAGGAGAGGCTCTGCATCCCCGCCCCGAAAAATTCTAACCTAACGCAAACCAATTTCTATTTTTTGAATAAAAATTAGATTTGCATTTGGTCAGTTTTTTTTGCGGGGGGAGGGTGGAGATGCAGGGGGAGAGGCTTTGCCTCTCGCCCACGCTTAAAAGTCGTAAACAGACTTTCGTTGTAAAAACAATGGATTAGTACAGCGTAAACTTACTATACGAGTGAAGCGAGGGGGGGATTTAAGGCGGGAGGAGGCACGAACCAAGCATCCATCTCTTCCGTGGCAGCGGCACTGTCGTGTCTGTGTAGGGCGTTTACACACTTCCTCAGCCCGACAAATAATTGTTAGAAAACAACATTTGCGGGTCTGAAAAAATATGCGAGGTACAAGTGGCTGAATCGGGAATCGAACCCGAGTCTTTCGCTTTCCGCTCAATGGATGCAGTGCCGATTGTCACGGAGAGACGAAATCCCCAGCACGTCTCCAGAGCGGTCCAAATCATAACGATTGAAAATTGGCGCCCGTAGCCGCTCAGCGATGAGTCTTGACTCACCACCAGTATGAATGGAAGCCTCCTTGAGTAGTCCATCCTAAACCACTACGTATAGTAAGCGTTACTATACGGCAAAATTTTGCTGTCAAATTTCAATTTGTTATATCTCCTAAACCAATGCCATCTCACTTGTTTTTGCGGGAAATTACTCAGAAAAAATAACCTCCTCTATAATGTATCTAAATGGTCATAAAATCGATGAGGCGCGATCTATTATGCATATTTACCATTTTTTTCTAACACCAAATTGCTTTATATAGAAAGTTATTAGAGATATGAAAAAAGAGACACGCGCGATATATATGTATAATTAACCGCTTCTTACATATCCGTGACATTAACTCGACGGAAGAATTTTATTAAATATAACGAGTTATATTATACAATATAATGAAAAAAACTAAGCGTTTCTAATAAATTAATTTTCTTCTATATTAATATCAATTATATAGATGCGTATACACGTTATATCTAGAATAATATCCCACTTGATTTTTGCAGGAAATTATTCAGAAAAAATAACCTCCTCTATAATGTATCTAAATGGTCATAAAATCGATGAGGCGCGATCTATTATGCATATTTACCATTTTTTTCTAACACCAAATTGCTTTATATAAAAAGTTATTAGAGATATGAAAAAAGAGACACGCGCGATATATATGTATAATTAACCGCTTCTTACATATCCGTGACATTAACTCGACGGAAGAATTTTATTAAATATAACGAGTTATATTATACAATATAATGAAAAAAACTAAGCGTTTCTAATAAATTAGGCTATTTTAATCGACCAATCAGAAAGTGGAACAAATTGGCGCCTCTCTGATAATCTAGGACTCTAGTTATATCCTATTATTTGATAGGTATAATGATGGGAACAGGTATAGGTATTATTAGGAGCATCGTGTGTAACGCGAATTTAATAGTAGATGTTATACCTGTCGACTTTGTTGTCGATACCTTAATATGCGCTTCTTGGCATAACGCAATGCAACATATTGATACGATAAGGATTTACAATTGCACCAGCAGCGCACTGCATCCGATCACGTGAGTATTTGTGAGAAACTGGAACAAACAATAAAACAATAAAAAAAGATATGATTTTTTGCAGATGGAGCAAATTCGGACATCTTACGAAAAAGTACGTCATAGAGTCGCCATCGAAATATGTGATGTGGTATCCAGGTTTTACATTTAGAACAAACAAATTTATTCACGCTATCATGGTAATTATGTTACACTTCTTACCTGCGTTTATCGTAGATCTTGTATCAAGGGTCCGAGGTTACAAACCTAAGTAAGTGCTCTCTCTCTCTCTAAAAAAAAAAAAAAAAAAAATGTTTTGGTAATAACATTTCGACGCATCATTTTTTTTTCAGAATGGTGAGAATGGCTAAACGCTTCAAGCGCTCTACTAAAACCGGAGAGTTCTTCGCGATAAACGAGTGGAAATTCAGCGTTGATAACATGCGGGAACTAGTGGAATCCGTAAAAGCGTTGGGGCATTGTAACGACTTCAATGTAGATATCAGAAGCTTGGATTGGGACACGTATTTGCATCAATACGTGTTAGGAATTAGAAAATATATTTTAAAAGATGATCTAGATACTTTAAATAATGCCCGCCGTCGTTTACGGAGGCAAGTCCCAATTTCATATATTCTTATTCACATTTTCACGGTTACAAGATAAACGCTGAGCAAGAGAAATAAATCGATCATTAATATATTACAGATTGAACTGGGTGGATAAATTAACCAAATTATTCGGTATATTCGTATTAAGTGTATTCGTATTAAGAATGATACTGATATGCTGGAATGCGGTGATATCATCAAGAAACTATACGAAAACTTTTGAATCGTAATTTGTGCGATTTTAAAAGCGCTGCAAAAACATTGCGGAAAGAAATATATTTTAGAAAAATTTTAGAAAAACATATAACTGCCATATTGAAACTTACTGCTTAAGTTTTTCTATCTGCCACGGCTCTAACACTTGGATAAGTTTCCTTGTAAGAAGTACAATATAAAAAATATATATATAAACAAAAAATTATATTTATAATATTTGATCAAATCCCTTTCTGAAGAAAAGATTACAGTTTATCGTTTTCATTTTTTTACTAACATCAATCATTTCAACGCGAAATCAACTTCATCGATATTTGGCGCTTAATTAACACTGCATCGTCCCGTGAGATGGCGACACGTGAGCCGTGCCGTGCGCGTATGCATCTGGAAAATGGCGATATCTGTTGCGACGGCACCAAAGTATTTTTTCGCTCGCATTCATTGACCGGTAGCAGCGTATTTCGGAGTGTGATTCGCCGCCGATTCGAATGTACGAACGTAGTGCTTCGCAGTCGGGTGAAGAGAACGACAACAATCGGATAACGCGCGATCGATTTTCGTCGCAGGAGCACCTCCGAGATCAGGTTAGTGCACGATCGTCAATATCACGTACAACGCGGGGATTGAAAATACAGCGTTATTTCGGCGATTAGTTCGTTTCGCGATGCTACGAAAAGTCTCCCATGGATTGTATCTCGCAACAATCGTATCGCGTCTTTTCTTTCACGTATAATACGTGAAAGACCATTCTCGCGTGACCACGACATTGAAATCTGAGCCGGAAAATTCTATCAGTTTGAATCCCCGCACTCGTCAGAAGTATCTGTACGTATTTGGGCATCAAGAGAGAAAGATATCATTTGTCATTTAAGATTTTATCTCAACACATTGCGCGCCCGATTGTTACTGCTCGCGTGATTCTGATGTTTACAAACGAGCCTTGGAATTGAACCTCACATTTCTGAATTAAATTAATTTATTAAGATATTCTTGTGTGAAAATCTTTTGCGTAGAGAATTTTTAATATTACATTTAATATTATAATACAATGCAATGAAAAATGATTTTTTTTTTTTTATCACGAAACAGAATAATTATTAACGATATTTTTTTAAATGCTAAATATGATTCCAGCTTTCTTTAAAATTATTCCATAACGTCACAATTTTGAACAAATTACAAATAAAGTTGCAAAGAAGGGCTATTTTAATATAATTAATTATAATTATATTATAGCTACGGTATATATGTGTAACGTGTTGCAAAAGTTTCGTTACAATAAAAAAAAAAAAAAAAAAAACTGCAACGGAAATAATTTCCCTTTATTATTCCCTTAATTTAATAATTCCCCTTTTTACATCTTTTTTATTGAATAATGTAATATGCAGTTATCTATTAATTCTATTGAAATCGGATATTAAATGGTTGTTAATTAATAGCTGTGTGCCTTTTTGAGAGAAACTCGATATGTATGTATTTTCGTGGAATAAGTTACAATTTAATTATGTTCCAATTTCATTCGGATTAATAATATTATTCGTATATACATCAAGAGAATCGCTCTTCTCGTGAAAATAGCTTATTCGGAGTGAGATTTTGCGATTAATATTCGAAAAATAGCGTAATAGCATCAAAAACAAATAGTATTAGCGTAAGTAACATTTGCTGAAATTTTATCTGTAATGCGATTACCAGAGGCAAAAGTCAGTTCCGCGCTGCAAAATGACGTTGAAACGTTGAAATCTCATGGCAATAATGAGACTTTCATCAACAAACGGAGAAGCAACAATATACGAAATTATATATGAGAGCGCTTCTCTTTTCTCTCTCTCTCTCTCTCTCTACAGTATACGACGCTGTTAGCAGGGTAAATTCTTATCGCCGTTGTCGTTTACTTGGCAAATGCACGATACGGTATGAATGCAACTCGGCAAACGAAAGAACTTTACAAAACGTCGCGAAACCCGCGGTAAATTTACCGAAAGAGTGAAAAACGCGAAAAAAACGGGTCAATTGCAAATTTTAATCTGTATGTATTTTCTGGGACGAATAAAAAAGATTCTTTATTGCATATGATCGTGCCGTCCACGAATAATATGGATGTTTTAATGACACATTGCGCTATATCTGTGGCACGATAAATTAGATTCCGCGAAGAAAGATGCGCGGACCAATTCCGTGTTAATCAAAACGCGGCTGGGAATAGTCCGATTAATTGCTGTGTTACCGATTCCATGTCACGGATAATATAATCAGTGACGACGAGGCTATATTTAAACGGATCGTAATGGATTCTTGTTTACAATTAGCGAAAATGGAAGCGGAGATATTATTGAATAGATTAAATATGCGCGGATATCTACTGAATTAAGCTTTGAGAGATTGGATTGATTATGAAATCTAATGTTTCAGCATAATTTAAGCGCATATTATATCGATGGAAATTTTAATATAGTTTGATTAATATCCAGTTATCGAAAATATTATTAATTTGTTAGATTAATCATATTTTTTACTTGTAAAGATTTACTTCCGGCTATTTTGAGAATATTTTATGCCTCGAAAATTTAATACACGCATTTCCAACCAAATGAGGAGTTTTATTTAAATGTTTATTAAGGACAAATTGAATTTAGATCATCAACGAATGCATTATAATCTTAAGCCGCTTTTCGCGAGTACAAATGGTAATTAATGTTAAAGCACAAGGCAAATTCGATTCGTTAAAAAAGTTGCAGGTAACGTGACGCAGCAACTCGCATCCATTTGCAGCAGTGTATATTTTTTACATCTGTTTTCCCGTATGGAAAAAAAACTTGTCATTAATCGCAAGTCACACCTTATCGTTACGTTCGTTTTCAATAAATACATCTTATTGAAATTCAGTTGGCACACGTTCGATCAGCGCATGTCGTTTATTATCAACGCTTGAATAATGTTCGTATTTCCATGGTTATCATTCGAACAAGGCGAACAAGTCTGCCAATTTTACCTGATATTGCGTACCTTCGTTCCTCGCGTTTGTCTTCGTGACGATTCGGAAACCTAAGTTCAAGTTTCCACGAGATGCTTTATTAGCTTCGAAATTCTGGTGCAATATATATGCATTTATCTTTCAAGGTATAATGGAAATATTCCTTTCGTGAAAAAAAAAAATCTCGGAGAAGCAAGAAATATATATTTCTATTTGTGGCACGATTATATGTATAATAAATGAAAGAAGCCAGTGAACGCCAGTGATAAAACGTATTGATTTGTCGAGGTAGAGATAAAGAAAAGTCGGTGCCAATCGTTTCGTTGAGGTGTTCATTGACCGGAAATTATGGCCGGATGTACATAACTACGTGAGTTAAATACAGAAACCGCCAGTTTTTTCAATGGACTAAAAGTAACAGAGTACAGTTAAATATTCGGTCGATACTTAAAAAGGAAACAGCCGGAATTAGATGTCATTGTTAAAATCAAACAAATTTGATTCTCGCCGTAAATTTATTTTCTCGCCGTAAAAAGATATTTTCTCTATATATTTGATATTTATTAAGAGCTGCTAATAAAAAAAAAAATAATGATTGAAAATGGTAAAATCGTTATATTATACATATATATACACACACATGCACGCGCTTATGGTGAAAATGCTTTTTTCGAAAAAAGTGTTAGGTTTCTTTTAATCTTTTCTCTTTTAATTATAGAGCGAGTATACATTTTTTATTTTCATCGCGAAACACGAGAGAAAATTTAGAAGCCTCGCGCATC